TGTACTTGCGCATATTCAGTCTCGATAGCGGATTATCATGTAAACATGTGAACATATTGTGAAACACTTCATCGTATTTAAAATTGTCCACCAACTTTTAGATATAAAAATAATGATATGAAAAGAAGGAATACTTGTGAAGACATCATTTTATGCACAATTTTATCTGCGGTTATTTAGTTTAATATTTGGCTTATCTTTTGTTCACTTATATATATTAACTGTCTTAATATGTGACATGTTTTTGGATTTTCTTTGAATCCGTATTGTTATAATCGTCATTGAATACTGTATACAAGGGAATTCACGCATTCAATGTGCTTGAGAAATACAACCAAAGTTACTAAAACGACACGTAAATAGCAGGCAGACAAATAGTTATGTTGACAAAGATTATTGAAATAACGTTATTTATTTATGACTGAAAACACTTCACTAACTTGACGAGATAGATGCAAACGCATCAGTTTTTTAACCTTTTGGAACTATAGGAAAATGCTTCTTCAATTTTATCAAGTTTCGTGGAAATATACATTTAGCTTGCATTTATTAACGGATTTCTTCGTGAAACATGTGTAATTCTGCAGATATGAAGTCAGTGATAAATTTTTGTACGTAGTCCAACATTTTGGCAGAAAGCACTCAATAAAACTCTTCTGGATGCTCTGTATATATGCATTCGCTAGTTGACTGCCTTTAAACTTCATTTATTGTTAATAGTAAAATAAAATTAATGATATTACATTACGTAACTAGAAGTACTTTATCCGTAAAAATTTTTTTAAAGTCAAAATACGAATTATTTGAAGCCAGTTCCGAAATTCACATTAGCCGAAAAACCATTGGATATCACGGAGCGATGGTAGTTAATTTTTTTCACGTCAATGAATGGTCTTGATCTTAACTAGATAGCTAAATTTATCTCTCTATGTCTCATAGTGAACAATTTAGCACATAACTGTTAGAATGAGTTGAGTGGCCGATGAATTATCCTTATTTAACACCCTGGTAAATCTTTAGCATTTTTCCCAACAACAACATGGGTGGTTTCAATAGCAAACCAAATCCATGCTCAAATCTGATTACATTTTTCCTAAATTCCCTGACTGATATGACAAGAAACTCATAAGCTGGGCGTAACCGAATAGTATATTTGAAATCTAACATCACGCTGAAATAGTCGCAAACTGACAATGTAATGGGCATAAGGAAGACATGAAATATTTTTGCAAAATCCTAGAGTTTAAGTAATAATTACAAAAAATACAACTACGAAGAGTTCTCTGGATGTAAGCTCAATTTTTTCTCGAAGTTAAAAAGGGTTGAATATTAATTAGTATTCAGTTACTGTAGATCAACTATACGTTACATTCTCCGGCACTTCGTATGAACTGGTTAAGTCAAATTAAATTCACGTTAAACAGATGAATTTGCCATCTATCATGTCAATTCACTTTTATGCACTAATATGTAACATGAAATACTCAAATATATAGAATTATAAGTGATTAAATTGCAGAAGAATTTCTCGCTCATAAGTTAAAAAACGCTACAGCTTTGTTTATTTCTCCTTATATTTGTTTAGTTATATTAGTGGTGAAAAATCCAAAATTCATAGTCTCATTTGTAGTGCAATTTGTTTATTTCTGCATTTAATTGATCAAAACAAAACCTCATTTTTACGAAAATCGAATCTTCCCATAGAACTTCAAAGTAGGGAAGTACATTAAAGAAAAGATGGACAGCAGTTACAATGAAACAAGGATTTATTAGAAAGCTACCTTCGTCACGTACATATAAGTACATAAGTTGTTATAAGTTATTTAATCTCATTGAAATGAACAATGTACAAAAAAATTAAACAATTTTTTCGCTTATACATCAAGAGAAGAAAGGAATATCACATTTAATCACAGGAAACTTCAGTGAAGAAAAATTCTCAAATAAAAAAAACAATAACAGAAAAATAATTTTTATAAAGCGCTTATTTTATATTGTTTTATGAGCGGCATTGTCAGTCACAGTGGTAGCTACTAATTTTTCTGGCACTTTTGTTGGTGAAACATTGTTATCAGCTACTGGGTTCATTATCTCATTATCTGTCGTAGCTACAGATCCTTCAGTATCACTAGATTTATTCTGATGATTACAACATTTACGTTTAATTAGCAAACCTAGATATATAAAATACAATGGGATCGGTGTTAATTTAGCTACAGTAAGTGGCATAAGAGAGCCTAATTCACCATCTGGTTTATGCATTGTATATAATAGAATGAGAACCCCAACAGCAATATTTTGTATACCAGTCTCTAAAGCCACTGTAATAATTAATTGAAACGATTGTCGTAAAATAAATGCAAATAATGCAGCTACACAAAAGCCAATCCAGGGTAACAGTGCACATGCAAGAATAAGTAAAGGATAAACACCTAATAGGCGAAACAGTGGCCAATTAATGTACACGCCAATGGTTAAAAAGAATATCACATAAAATTTAAAAATTGGTCCGACTAGTTTGCTGAATTTCATAGCCCATTTCGGTTTCAACGTACGTAGAGCCAGACCTAATAATGCGGGTATGACTAACTGTAGCAATTGCAAGACAATTTGACCGTATGGAATTTCTACTTTGGTATTGTCAATGAAGAACGGAGAGTAGATGAATAGGAGAAATGGCACCATAACTGTAAAATGATGAATAGAAAGATGAAACAAATTAAAATTTAAAAGTGAGCATTACCACGGTTCATGATTTATAAAATGCATACGATCACATGTTTGTGCTGATGATGTTGTTCAGAAAAACAATGAAAGCTCCACAACCAAAACAACCAGCTCAGAGAACGAAACACCACCACAAAGCCTGAAAATCTATTTATGGACGGAAATATTCCTTCATTGATCTTTGATCTTCAAAAGTCTATTTTTGAGATTATTCTTATAGTACTAAAGTCTCGTAACACATTTTTCCTAAATTATTTCGGTGTTTCATCACTTCACCACTTAATATTAGCTTCTAAAAAACCAGTACACCTGTAGACTATGCTAAAATAATGGCTTGTCTTCATTTGAAACTAAAACTAACATGTATGTAATCTTCCAGAGAGTAGAAAACAAACTGAATTTTAGATGTGCCATGATTTAGTGAAAAGTTTCCTTTTATAAGAAAAATAAACAAACCACTATTTCTGCGATTATAAACAATCTATGTCTACTTTCTTTATTCTTTTGCCACACTATTCTTTGTTTTGTAAGTTGAAACACAAGATGAAAAAAAGATGTGTTGAAAACACATTTATTTTACTGCAATTAACATGTAACTACTTTCATCAACCAAGCATGAAATTAATGTGTGATTTATAACTACAAATTCTGGTACACTACATTCCACGGATGTATTTAATCAGTCACAATTTAGAAAGAATGATAGCGATAGTGATATTTAGTTAATTTTCATCTACAACTGAGCTTTAACAGAACTGTTTCAGGATTTTCAAGTGAAACAGTTGCTATTTAATATTTAGTGATGGCAGAAGGTATTTTTTAAATGTCTGAAAAAATCGAACTGTTAAATAGGGTTTATCGTATTGTCGGTCTATTCAAATTGTCTTTCAATATTATATGTCTTGATTAAAACAAAATTCGCTTAATAGTTAATTATTTGATAAATGGTTTAATGCTCAGCATATATATATAATGCAGAACTAATAAAAATAGAAATAGGCAGTATGTAAGTTAGACTTACAAAGAGCTGATAAGTTACTAATGAATGTCATTACCATACTCAAGTTAATATCACCACCGAGTAAAAAAGACCAACCATTACTGGCACCACCTCCTGGAGAACAAGCAATAGTAAGTAATCCGAAACCAAACTCTGGTTTCATTGGGATAAGTTTTGATAAGCATATTGCAGTCTGAAACATAATAAGATAAATTAACAGTTTAGTCTTAAGCATTGTTTGATTTACCACATTACTAAAATTAACAGATTAGGTTTACCGCTACAATGAAGTAATTATTCTTGATGTAATTAATGCTAATAGGTGTTCAGGATTCCTGATGCAATCTATAGCAATGAGAAGTGACTAACCTCACTGGTAAAGCAATAAAAGAACACTTTATGAAACAGATACACAGTATAATTAAATCAATAATCAATCAGTCTGAATTTGAAGAGATCAACGATTATAACTTGTGATTTTCTATTTAAGTGGGATTGCTAATCGATAACAATTTCTACACTGAATTAGGCACGTAAACGAACATTAAAGGAAATACGTGTAGTTTAAATAAAACGTAATGTGAAGATAAAGTAGATAATAGAATGAAACGTGAAAAGTTTGTTGCTGTTGTTGTTAGTCCTACACCTACATAATCCTAAAGATGTTGATTTTCAGTACCAATTATTGTTTTAGGTATAGGAGTTATCTATCGCATGTACGGCACTCCAATAATTTTAAAACTAATCGACGAGTTAACTTAACAATTAAAACGAAACAGTGATAACTGACTGCATGAATGTTGTTTGATGCAATACATAAACGGTATTACCTATAATTTGATTATATTTAATTGTGGTTGATAGATTGACTTGATGTAAGTGTTCTTATTTTGTTGTGTCATGATTCTCAAGAATAATTAATTACAGTTGATAGGTAAGAATTGAAAGTGAAACTCTTAAATAGACCTGACGGTTTCAATGAAACCGCTGTTAATAGAATCGCGATCTGTAAATCTCATAAAAATAATTAGGAAATCGTGGAATAAAATATATTTCCATTTCTCAGATCACAAAAAGTATTCATTGAAATTTATTTTATTTCACTACAACACATCGTGACATTTATTCAAGAAGAATATCCACAATTAAGACGAAACGTGTAATCCATTCTGAGACCCAAACTGTGATAAGTCAACTACATAATCCCAGACATCACCTGTGAGTCATTAATCTTTGTATTCTTAACACTTAAGATGATTATATTTGTTCTCGAATATCTGCATCAAGGAGTATTATAATTTCATTTAAAATCAACAGCTTTTAAAGGCCTTATACTTACTAGTTTTAGTCAACCTGTAATGACGAAAATTAACAACTACTTCATAAACAATCAGGTTAAATAAGAACTAGATTTTAATTGTCAACTTGTTTCGATGTGTTTTCTTCGAAATTCTAGTGGAGAGCTGTAAATTTCAGGGGTATTCCAACTAGAAGTAAAATACATATGCTAACTGGTAATATTTGACTGTCTTCATGCTAAATATCTAATCGTGTTAGACCATGTAAAATTATTATTAAAGGTCAGTAAATTAGTGTTAATACGTAACAAAACACCTTTACAGCTCAGCACATCTGACCGGTCAGATCAATATTCTTTAAAGAATCAACTAAGAAAGGTCACTTTCATTCGCAATACCTAAAACATATGATTGAAGAATGAAACTTTTTTGAAACTGCAAAACCAAATAAAATAACTTCCGTTCCTGTCCTTGTTTAAATCGTAAATTTTCACTATATGGTGCTGGCTATTTAAATTTAAAATAACCTATATGTACGAATATAAGATTTTGCAAGAAACAGAAACATATAAAAGGAACAAATAGGCTAACTACACTTACCAATGGCATAAAAAAGAACTGACAAAAGAATCCGATTGATATAGAAATGGGTGTTTTTAAATGATGCCATAACAGGGCGACCTCCAAATCACACCCCATTGTAAACGTGACTGAAGTTACCAAAATAACTACGAAAATACGATAAATTCTGTAACCAATCCCTCTGTTTAGGAGTACAGTGACTGGAAAACCCGGTAAGTCATGCTCATTAAGATCACCATTAACATCCTGGGTATTAAATGAGGAGGCATCCGACTGATGATGAATTGATAAATTATCATTAAATTGTTTATCTATGTCAATCGAAAACAGCAAATATTCTGACCCCAGCAGTTTTGGCAATATATACAATGTTACTTCTGTACTGGTTTCTGTTGAAGGCGGTAGACGATACAATGATTTATTAACTAATTCCACAGAAAGTGTGGAATCTAGGTCATAGGATAGAACTAAAGGCACTTGACTGCTGTAGTTGACTAAACACGTAACAGGTTTGACTTGATAATTATCAACCAATTGTAAATTCTTCTTTGGAATACTAATGACCACAAAAATATTGTTTATCTCATCATGGTAATCATAAGTGTATACCGAGAAGCTATCATTTCCTGCATCCTGTATCAGTTGATATCGCCCATGCACTCGTCTAGTCGCCTTACTATCATTAGAACCGATCTGATGTGATGACTCCACTTTGGCTGGAAAAGAATCAGACAGTATTGCGCTGGCATCAATCAAGAGGCAGAGGAGTATTTGCCAGGAAAACATATACATTGTGTGTAGAATAACCGGATGGATGACTTCGTTTTATATCTGAGATCACAATAGTTCAAGGTCATAAAATTAACTCATTATCTTTCACCCCTTTCAGAATTAGATTAGCTTAAAGTGTATGACTGACATGCTAAAGAAAACATTCTCTAAATTATATTGGGGCACAGTTTTGGAGGTTTGCGTTTATACTCATTTGAAATCATTAATCAATCATCATCTCTAAATTACTGAGACCCATAATAATTGGTTTATTAATCAGATCTGGATAGTAATGTGCTAAGCATAAAACCGTTGTGATCTAATTTCGTCAGTCCGACCAATAAATTTTGAGAGAATTACCATAAATAACCGAAAATTAGTGAGTGATTTGAATTAACTCAAAATCAAAAACTTACAATAGGTCAAAGTGTACAAATTTTGCCGGCTTTACAAATCAGTTGATTGGTTGCAAGAGATTTATTACCACCCAATGAAAGGCGGTTAGTTTTGTCTTGATGTTTGAATTCATGATTTTTGCGTGTGAAACCCATTTTATTAAAATAATTTTATGCGTAAGCTCAATTGCTTTGAAGCATGACATGTTGACGTAAGAAACAAAAAACGTTAAACTGATAGTGATAGTGGGGCAACTAAAAAGGATCACATGGTATGAATCTGGTCAACGATAACAAGTTGAAAACCATGTGCAGTTATTTTTATAACCATCAACGATCACACGTACTAAAAGCTAAACATTTTAGTAGTCTAGGACGATATGTTTAAATCACAAACTGATCTTACACTACCACTAAAAACCTGGATGATCTAGAAAGCAATTTCGTGTTGTTACGAGACATATTATGTAATGCTAGATCCCTCTGTCCTCAGTAGGAATGAAGGCCTGCCTATTCGTCGTACGTAGACTGTTTATCATACCAATCAAATTTAACTCATAATCTACACAAATAAAAACACATACAAAACTCATTTTTACCCAGCTACTTCATGAGCGATGGGCAGTGAAAACGCTTTAAAACTAAATCTGGCGAAACGTCATGTCACGTACATTCAGCCCCACATGACACCCTCAGTAAAAGTACGCTTCTTCATGTTTCCACAGAGCGTAATCTTGATTTATTAACCACTGAATGCCTCCACCCCAGCTCTAACTATTTGTAGATGCAGTCAAGGCAAATGCAACTCTTCACTTTATGCAAAGACAACTTGGTGTTATTACCCCACAATTATTCTTAACCTAGTTTAAAACATATTCACACCCACGCCTTGAGGTTCACAACGTTGTCGCACCCCCTCCCCTTAATAGAGACTTACATGTCTTGGATCGAGTGCAAGGGCGAGCAACGAAATGGATGATAGGGTCGCAAAATAAAACTTACACAGATAGACTCCAGCATTCGGGATTACAGAGGTGATCTGATTATGGTGAACAACATATTAAGCACGCCAAACCATCCTAATGTGAGCACCTTACCGATGTATCACCATCACTCCTCTCGAGGGATTACTCAAAAAATTGCGCACCAAAGAGCGAATACCCAGGTTCGTGCACAATTCTTCTCATTAATAGCCGTTTCAACTTGGAGTGCTCTCCTAGCTGAGGTGACCACAGCCCCCTGAGTGAGCAGCTGTAAGGAGAGACTTGATAAACACATGCTCACATAAGGATTATCATCTCCCTCGTAGACAAGCTGTGCCTGATGTATGTCTTGAGACCGGCTGGTTGTTATTATTGCCATCTGCTCAGACCACTAACTTAATTTATCGCGCTTATTATCTCTGTTTCCTCCCACTTGTTTACACTTCGGTCCTCTCGCACGATCTTCACTGCCAATTAATAAACCAAATTATCTATTTATTTACTTGGTTTTAAAATCATCTTCTTATTAACATTAGAATATTCTCCTTATTGTTTTCCACATTGCAAATGACTAATCTCCGGCATGGTAACGTGGTAGCTGCTGGAATCCAGGACTCCTACTTTCCTGAAACAAATATAGTCATTCAAATCATGGGACATACAGACTCACGAACAAGTGCCAACTGACTAGAAATAAGCAGTCGAGTGGCTAGCCACCAAATGAATTGGATGCCATAAATTATATTTCCATCTGAATCCCATTCATAGACGCATATAAAACTCTAATCTCATACGGAATCACCTTGACCTAAAATAACATGACATTAACAGGTTCAGATCTATAATGAATTTCACTTCTAAAAATACTCTACTTTGTTTCCCTCTAACTATTTAAACGCGTCGTAATTTATTTCGATTATATATTTATTTATTCGAAAGAAACAACTTAAATTAAGCCACGAAACTTAAGTGATACAAACTTCTAATAATAAATATATCACCAAAAATAATTATTAATGTTATGTCTATATATATACATATCGTGTGTATTTTATAATATATCGAAGCCCATGTTAAAAAATCGAATCCAGTTAACAAAACATCCTTATGATTCTAAAACTATCCTCTTCAGTGTATATCAAGCAATAATCAATGGAAACTGGAATATGATTCCTGTTTAGTGATAAATATATTTGATATTTTGATTGCTTTCCTCTGTATATTATAAGGCTAACAATTCTAATGAGCAGAAATGTTTATCAATCTACCATGAGACACGCGTTTGATCTAGAACTCATTGGTAGATGAAACAAATTCAATTTCGTTAGGTAAGAAGAAATACTTCGAAGATGTTGACACACATCATTCATTTGAATAGACTAAATCGTAAAATCATAGACCATTAAACAAGTCGACCATGTGTTAACTCAAGGTGATTATTAGGCTAGCATTTTGTGAGGACTCAGTAGAGTTACATTATTTGAATGAGTTGTTCCATAAGGTCCAACCACACCAACCAGGTCAATTGAGTAGGGATAAGATCAACAATCCTACAGTTGGTGATTGATTGGAAAAGTTCAATCTTAAAAATAACATACCCCTATTTCACATTAACTGGCTTTCTAGGTGAAATCAGACACGATGTAAACCAAATTCAATCTCTCATTCACTCATTCACTCTGTCTACTAACATGTGATAATCCAATGTGATTTTCAAGCTCTGTCAGTGAATAAAAAGTCCCTTCATCCGTTATCATTATTTCCCTTTTTGCATGTTCATTTAACTATCTCATTTTTATTAGCACAATTACCGACTTTAGCTAACTAGAAAAGAAAACTCCAAAAGAACAGTAAAGTTGGAATTAGTTCGGTAAAAAGAAACAGCTTCTGATTCATTTGACAGAGAACAAATAACAACAAAAAAGCCTTGCACACTTATTCTCTCTTATTATCCACTAATGACTCACAAGAGGAAAAAATAATCTTGTCATTAAAAACTTAATCAATCAGTTAATTATTCGCCAAACAAAATTCTTTACAAGTATATAGAAGAACTACAAATATTCTTAAATAAGTGTTTATACACAAATGTGTAAGGAAAACATAATTGTGTTAAACTGTTTTCAATATAAGTTCAAGAAAAGTTGCGCTTCACACAAGACATCACACCACCAAAGGTTCTATTGTGCATATAATCAATATCGATGAATTTTTTATTGCTTTATATATATGTTCGGAGAAACTAGCAAACAATTATTCATTCGAAGGGATTTATGAAGACTGATTGAATGTGTACATTTTACTCATTACATATTCAAAATGTGCTTCAACGAAACTATAATAGTCGGCTCAACAGTAACTTAATCAAAATTTTCTCGAAGTTATAGTGAGAAGTCGTAAGTATTGAAGTACAAATATGTCAGAAGTCAATCACTTAAAAATGCTAACATTGGATGATTGACGTTCCATATCACAAATTGATTGAATTCGGAATTGTAGGAAATCGGTTCACAGCATTCGATGATCTATCATTGGTCACAAGATCCCAGCTTCAAGGTTCAACTTTTATCCGATTCGGAGGTCGTTACTGTTAAGGAGTCCTATATTAGGATGAAACATGTTTTCGGCACTCCCCAGCTTACAAACGTATCCAAATTCGGACTGATCACTGAAAAAATGCACCACGAAAATAATAATTTTAATTTAGATGAACCTCAGTTTAGAAGAAGGAGAACTGCTTCAATAAGAATAGTTTATCAAACAGCAGCAAAAATGAAGCTACACCAAAACGTCTTGAGAGAACATACGAAAAAACTCATTCGGTGCTGAGCGCTGCTTTACCAGACGTTTTAAATAAAATGGACATTCCCAAATCAATCAAACATTTCAATCAGGACTATGAACAACACAAGCGTGGTGAAAGAGCAAAAAAACCTTCAAACTATTTTGTTGATGTGTGACCTCAAATACTTCACAATCGTGTATCCACTGGCCGTAGAATTTGAGAAAACTGTCCGTGCAAACAATTAGCAAAGATCTAATTTCAGAAATTTGCATGCTGATGAGACTGCTGGAGAGCTTGAGTCTTATAAAATTTAGATGTTTTGAAGAACATATGAGAAAAGTGAAGTTCAGCATTCCTAACAACATAATGTTAATGTACTCTAAAAGTTGTAAAATGAATGCTTTCATGACCATGGTTCATAATTTCGAAATTGAATATAATACTGTTTATTTATTCTTCGCTTCGATAAATAATGAACTGTTACAATTACACAATTAGCATTTCTGGTCCAATAAACTGCTTCAAAGCTTATTCTTTGTGTCATATTCTAATTCAGACTTGTTAGGCATCTGTTATTTGATGTAAATATCTTCATGGATTCCATGATTTTCATACATAGTTTCATGAACTACAGTTATATTCATTTCTACCCCTACAATTGTTAATGAACTGTTTGACCGCCTATTCTTTTAGTTGCTATTTGGTAGAATATTCAGTATTAAGTAAATCTAAGCAACAATCAGGACTCACACAGTCGAAGGTCACAGTAAGAAGACACTGTCCGACAAGGTTCTATACTCAAGTGCCGACCTATTTGGAATGATCGTCGGTATTTACTCAGTTTCCCTTCAGTTTTTGTATACTT